TGAGCACAGCTGGGAAAGTCGTATTTTATGTTTAACAGACAAAAAGCCTTTTATCGGGAAGATTTGGCGCTCGGATAGAATTACAGCCGATTGTTCAGACACAAAAGCTGCCAACAGAAGCGTTTCCGAGCCGCCCGCCATCCGGCGTACCTCCGAGCGTGTATGTACCTGTCCAGGGGGCCCCTGGCGTGCATGTGAAGAGCCGTTTACATTGTATGTGTAGAAGCGTGCCGCCGCCATCGGAAACATAGCGCAATACTTGGCACGGAGGAGGAGAGCCCGCCCCAAAGTATCATCGGCTTCATCAAAGATGAAGCTGCAGAGACGCCACCACGTGAGGAACACCGGAGAGGCCTTCCCCCCGACACCGACCCATCACCCAGATCCCCGGAACCGACCCATCACCCAGATCCCCGAAACCGACCCATCACCCAGATCCCCACACCGGAGAGGCCTTCCCCCCGACACCGACCCATCACCCCGATCCCCGGAACCGACCCATCACCCAGATCCCCGAAACCGACCCATCACCCAGATCCCCACACCGGAGAGGCCTTCCCCCCGACACCGACCCATCACCCCGATCCCCGGAACCGACCCATCACCCAGATCCCCGGAACCGACCCATCACCCAGATCCCCACACCGGAGAGGCCTTCCCCCCGACACCGACCCATCACCCCGATCCCCGGAACCGACCCATCACCCAGATCCCCGAAACCGACCCATCACCCAGATCCCCACACCGGAGAGGCCTTCCCCCCGACACCGACCCATCACCCCGATCCCCGGAACCGACCCATCACCCAGATCCCCGAAACCGACCCATCACCCAGATCCCCACACCGGAGAGGCCTTCCCCCCGACACCGACCCATCACCCCGATCCCCGGAACCGACCCATCACCCAGATCCCCGAAACCGACCCATCACCCAGATCCCCACACCGGAGAGGCCTTCCCCCCGACACCGACCCATCACCCCGATCCCCGGAACCGACCCATCACCCAGATCCCCGGAACCGACCCATCACCCAGATCCCCACACCGGAGAGGCCTTCCCCCCGACACCGACCCATCACCCCGATCCCCGGAACCGACCCATCACCCAGATCCCCGAAACCGACCCATCACCCAGATCCCCACACCGGAGAGGCCTTCCCCCCGACACCGACCCATCACCCCGATCCCCGGAACCGACCCATCACCCAGATCCCCGAAACCGACCCATCACCCAGATCCCCACACCGGAGAGGCCTTCCCCCCGACACCGACCCATCACCCCGATCCCCGGAACCGACCCATCACCCAGATCCCCGCAACCGACCCACCACCCAGATCCCCACACCAGAGAGGCCTTCCCCCCGACACCGACCCATCACCCCGATCCCCGAAACCGACCCAGATCCCCGAAACCGACCCAGATCCCCGATCCCCACACCGGAGAGGCCTTCCCCCCGATCCCGACCCCTCACCCCGACCCCCTAGAACCCACCCATCACCCCGGAACCGACCCATCACCCCGATCCCCGGAACCGACCCATCACCCCGATCCCCACACCGGAGAGGCCTTCCAAAGCCGATCCCCGGTACCAACACATCAGCCCGATCCCCAGAACCCACCCATCACCCCGGAACCGACCCATCACCCCGATCCCCGGAACCGACCCATCACCCCGATCCCCACACCGGAGAGGCCTTCCAAAGCCGATCCCCGGTACCAACACATCAGCCCGATCCCCAGAACCCACCCATCACCCCGGAACCGACCCATCACCCCGATCCCCAGAACGGTGTGGCCATTATAGAGGAGGAGATTAAACCGCTCAGCATGCCCAACAGACTCCGTGTGAAAGGTTCCCGTGCCCCAGAACAAGGACCCGGGCTCTACAGGGCCCCAAGAAGGGTAAAAATATCGTTTCCTGACTGTTGTGCTCATCCTGCACTTCACACGAGCCCACCAATCCCGGCAGGAGAGTCCCCGATCACCGACAAAGATAATTCCCTCACCTTCACTTCCTCCCTCCCGGATGGGCGCAGGTGGGCCGGGATGGCAATCCTGAAGACGCGGCCCACCATGGTGGAGCTGTCCGGGATGCCGGTTGCGGGGGCCACGGGCTCTTTAAGTTCTGAGAACAGCGAATGCATGGAGGC